GGGGGGGGGGGGGGGGGTTCTTTTTCTGTTTTCACCTTGCCTGTCTGTCTTCTAGTATAGTGTACAAGCACGTTATAAGCTACAAATCTATAATAATCAGTTATTGTCCACCTGGTGTGGGTCCATCACCTTATAAGCTGAACTTTACCAGTACTGGGGTTATAGATCTGTGTGTCTTTGCTTACCATAGAACAGGGGTAGCCAATCTCCAGTCCTCCAGCTGTGGTAAAGCTACAAATCCCACCATGCACCTTCCTCTGGGAGTCATGCCTGTGGCTGTGAGAGTCTTGCCAATGCCTCATGGGAGTTGTAGTTGACCATAGCTGGAAGGCCAAAGTTTGGCTTCCCCTGCCAAGGACCTTTGCAATGTTACCTAAACCCTTCCTGACCGATGACAGGATTATCCCGCCACGTTTGTTCATTTGCTAATGACTGGTGACGGGATAATCCTGTCATGCGGTACAAAGAGCCGGCTTGCTCTTAGACCGGTCCTTCCAGCCTCTCTCCGCTGCAGTGGTCTAAGGTCCCTTGAGTCGTCATGGCCCGTACACAGTGTAAAGGAGGAGACGGGCTGGAGGGAGCTGGCTCAGAGGTTAATTTCTTTATTTTGGCATCCAGACAAAAACGAGCGTTTAACCCTTGCAGTGGGGCTACCTCTGGATTGCAAGAGTTAAGAAATGTTTTGCTCGGCGCTAAGGCCTTAGTGCCAGGGAACACTGATCCAGAAGACGGAGTCCCATTTAGTTTTCCGTGTATCCTGCAGAAACATTTAGAACTGAACCTGCACTGGCTTTCTTTAAATACATGACGGCTTTCCATATAAGCGTAATTTAAAGCGCTGCCATTGATGAACCCCTGGAAGCAATTCTAGTTCCAGGTCAGATCTGTGCATAATAAAGTACAGCAAGGACTATGCTGTCCTAGAACGAGCACCACTTTAAGGCGTCACACAGTGATGGTCTCCACCAGCGGACAGAAGCCTCAGATATAGCACCAGCAGCTGTCCTGACAGGTTCTCTTTAAATAAATATCTGCCAGTGAGCAGAGCCTTCAGATCTGATCACCGCTGGAGACATACGTGTACCCGTGTCATGTGTCCGCGGCTTTGCTGCAATCTTGTAATTCATCCCGGAGGTGTCTGCTGCCAGTTAGTCAAAGTGTTGAGAGGAAAGGTTTCAGGAGCCGGTCATTAGCGGCGGCTGTGATAGCAGAGGTCTGACACATCTAATATATGCCCTTTACCTGCTGCTCACATACAATGCCAAGATCAATATGTTTCCTTCAAGAAAAACGTTACCAGCTCCTCCTAGATCGATGTTTGGATGCACTGCCTGTGTCTGCTCACTTTCCTCCATGAATAATTGATGGTCGATAAGTGTTTGTAAACAGGAAATCTATACCGTCCCCCTCCACCTCTCCGGCTGTGTGTTTAGGCCTTACATTTTCCCCTCCCTCATTCCTAGATGAGCGATACAAAGTTCTTCAGATGCAGCCATTTTTTTAAAAAGGTAGCTCCACCATGAATGTAAGGCTTTAGTTATTGGTGGATGTTGTTGCATTCAACCGTAGCCCATGGTTTCCGATGTCGCATTCAACCGTAGCCCATGGTGTCCGATGTCGCATTCAACAGTAGCCCATGGTTTCCGATGTCGCGTTCAACCGTAGACCATGGTTTCCAATGTCTTTCAAGTCTTCTGGAGGTAAGATCTCTATGCTTGAGTTCCCAGCTCCACCCATCTGTTGCAGTAAGAGTTGTGTTGGCCATACATGTAGCAATCCGATCTATTAGACTGCTCCACTGGGTTTCTTTTTATTTCTATTCGCTTTCAGTATTTCTTTCAATCTATTGAAGCTGACCTCCTGCCTCCCCTTCAGTCTTCCGTCTGATTTCCGGCCTCCCCTTTAGTCTTCCGTCTGATCTCCGGCCTCCCCTTTAGTCTTCCGTCTGATCTCCGGCCTCCCCTTTAGTCTTCCGTCTGATCTCCGGCCTCCCCTTTAGTCTTCCGTCTGATCTCCGGCCTCCCCTTTAGTCTTCCGTCTGATCTCCGGCCTCCCCTTTAGTCTTCCGTCTGATCTCCGGCCTCCCCTTTAGTCTTCCGTCTGATCTCCGGCCTCCCCTTTAGTCTTCCGTCTGATCTCCGGCCTCCCCTTTAGTCTTCCGTCTGATCTCCGGCCTCCCCTTCAGTCTTCTTTCTGACCTCCGGCCTCCCCTTCAGTCTTCTATTTCAGTGGTCCCCAACCCCCGGGCCGCGGACCGCTACCGGTCCGTGGATCAAATGGTACCGGGCCGCCCAAGGAACATTAAATTATTTCCATTTTATTTACTGTGGTGTATTTCTCTCGGGTTTGTCCGACTTTCCAGGACGAGAGGTTAATCGGGAGCTGAGAGACGTCACCTAAAGCCGCACCAATACCGCGCATTCGCAAAATATCGTGATATGGGGGCGGTTTTAGGTGACGTCTGGAGCTAAGCGGCTGCAAGCGGCAGTGGCGTTGTAGCTCTGGTAAAGAGAAGGTGTGTATCGGTGACCCATTTGTCAACAAATCGGGCGAATCTAGCATGTCTGTGCAAGAAGAAGATCAACTGCTGGAGATTGCAAATGACGGCGGCCTTAAAACTACGTTCGAGACAACAACTCTGCCGGTGTTCTGGATTAAAGTCATGGCGGAATACCCTGAGATTGCCACCACAGCACTTAGAACCCTATTGCCATTTCCGACAACCTATCTGTGTGAAGCGGGGGTTTCTGCAGTGACAGCAACCAAAACAACGGAATAAACTGGACATAAGCAACACACTTCGGGTGTCATTGTCTCCTATTACCCCCAGATGGAACCGTCTCGTTGCAAAGAAACAAGCTCAGGGTTCTCATTGATTTATCGTTCTAGTGAGTTAAAATGTTCACTCACTTTATATTTTTTGGTGTAACTGTATTTTATTTTGAAGGCATGTTTAAATACAATGAAATTAAAATTATGAAATCAAAACAATCTAAAATATAAACAATCAAGGCCCCCCCCCCCCCCCCCCCCCCCCCGCCCCGGAAAAATTACAAAACA